AAGAAGAAAGTTAAACTGGAGGTCGAGATTGATGTTTCTTCCACGATCCATATATATATATATATACATATGTATATATACAAAAAATCATCTATCTTGACCTTTGCTGTCCAGGCTTTCAGATACCTTTCACCTGATGGCGCCATCTTGAGCTTAACTGACAACAGCCTTTTTACTGCAGCTGTAAAGTTCAGACCCCAAAACTGCGCTATAGATATTGTTAGTCAAGCTATTATGAGACTCAAAAATGCTGTTACGCCTTTGCCACATATCGCTACTGGGCAGTTTCTGCGTCGAATACGCTACTGAGAATACATGTCAAGGAAGTAAAGGCAGTAAAATTGAAGGGCTTAGCATGAATATTTTAATGCTTGTATGACGTTCACATTACGTGTACGAAGCTTCGTGATGAGGTTGACTCCTGGGCATCTTTAGAGAGCAGCAACTGTATGCACGAACAGCCTTTCAGTCTTATCGATTCAAATGCATGTTTTTCTTCAGCTTAACCATTAAGTATATCTGGGAAGCAGGAAATTTAGTGGTCATAATCTGATGATTTCTACAATACTGATCGTCGAATGCGAGTGCTGAAGAGTTCTTTGTGCATCGACTTACAACCGAACAACTAATCCATAATGAATGATTTTGTCAGGGACCGCCTGCAACTTAGTAAGGCTTTTTTTGAGAGCTGCATCGGCAACAGTATAATCTTAGACTGTCAACCGTTCTACGGGGCAAATATATATATATACGCTTTTTGTCCAATGAAGCCGGACATTGCCAGTGAACCCCTCCTTCCTGGTGAAGTGCATAAGCCAACTGGTAGTCTTAAAACTAGTTGGCTGCACAGCAGTTGAATTATGGTTTTAAAGAAAGTTGAATTGTCAGAGAGATCGAGTGCGGAGCTCATTGCAACTATATCTCCCTGTTAGTAAATGTTATCGTTGAATGAGAATTGTGGTTCTTCGATTTCTTTTAGTGGGGTGAGTGATGAAATGCTAAAGTTGGTGGTAAAACCGGAGATGCATTAAACGATTTCGGAAGGACTACGTTGGCAGACAAGGAGAGTACAGTCAATGGAAGCATGTGTCTGTTTATGACATGCACATTTTGAAGTGCTCCTACAAACTCGAGTGTGCGCTGTAGGTTTTGAACGCAAAACTGTTGACCAACAACCTCTGGTGACATTTCTAACTATCAGGTGGTGGCTTTAACGAATTGGTTGTAGCGAAGTGTGTACATTTTTTGGGAGCCTAAACATACGAGGGACGGTTATACCAGTAGGTTCCACCGAGTTGCACTGCGCTGTCGTATCACGGCCAGTGTCTTTGTGACACTCCAAACAAGCGATTGTTTGTGCCTCTACTTTCACTTTATTTTTTAACGCCTGCAACCAGAAAGCAATTAATGAACATTAAACAAGACATTGTGACTCATTTTTCTTCTGGCATATACTCTCAAATATCAGACGGCAACTCCACGGTTACGAACTCAAGACCGTAGACTGATTTGTGCTTCGCAGAGACGCGCAGGCTGTGAGTATTATAAGAAATCTAATACCTGTGTGAATGAGGCTTCGTTTGTAAAATTAGATCATTTGTGGCGGTCAGTATCGATTTCGTCCACAGCGTCAACAAAAATCTGGTTGAAGTGTTGGTTAGGATGGAAACACGATAGACTGGAAAATAACGGACTTAAAGGATACCGGAACCTAAGAGGACATAAAGGGCGATGACAAAACGCTATCCCCATTTTCGCCAGTTTGATTTAAGGCTCTGACAGTCTTTCAGTTGGTTTGTTGAACACGTTTATCGTGCTGACACCCAAACAAATGAAGTCAGTTAAACGGAATTGGTGTCCGTCTTCTATTAATCTTCTGCCAAGACCACACAGTGTGATCCGGAGAATAAATATCCTCTCCATCTGATTGCAGTGGAAGACACTGCACCATACTCTGCCAGCTGCTAGTTGGCGAATGCTTGCCTTGTGGTAAGATCTAACAAGGTTTGTAAATGAATGCTTCGAGTGAGCCGTAAATGTCATTGATTGATCCATTCTAGTTGGAACGCATCTTGGCTGGGGGAATTCTGCTCGGCATAGATGATCCGAAACTGTGAGCGTGTTATAGGAACGCTCTGAACACTTAAGCACCTTATTGCACAAAGTCGATTAAAACGGATACGAAACAGAATGTTAGGTATTGCGTTCCGAAGTAAGCCTAGATAAACAACACATCTGTCTGATATTAGAAAATCTTTTTGACCTTCAATAAGGCCACACTTGTGGTGGAAAAAGAGCTTCCAAAAATTTAATTTTCACTTCCGCAATGCTGTATATAACGGACCCTTATACCATATTCTCCAACGAATCAAGTATAATCAGTTCAGATCACGTAATAATCGGGTCCATTTTGTGAGCCATTAGGATCCTTATTTTAGGATCAGTTCTCTTGGTGTTGGTTGTTCCAGAAGAAGAAGCTCACTTAAACAAAGAGCAAAAAATGGTCAAATAAACATCGTCAATGGGACACCCAATCGGAAAAACCCTAATCGATGGTTTAATTTGACCACTCCATTAGCAGTGGTTTGCATTTGAGTGTTTCGCCGCACGTGAACGTTTGGTGTTAGAGTACTAAATAAGAATAATAGATATTGTGTTCCCCAAAAATGATGAGGGGGTGAAATTGGAGGCTGGCTGTTCAGTAGTTTTCGTTAACATTATAAGTGGTGCTACATCAAAGCGAATATAGAAATATTTAAGCATTCGCTGTTCATTCGGTAGAGTAGTGGCCACTCATCTGAATTCCGTAGACTATATACCAAAAGGCGTGAGTTTTTCATGTTGTTGCTGGCTCGTTTATGATCACTCGAAGACATACAAGTGTTGGATGTTCCCACTTGTACAGGAAACAGATTTATTTAAATACATGCTCTCTTCAGTAGGAGAAAAAAACGATCAAGAAGACGGTCGACAAACCAGTTATGCTTTTCTTCATGTTACCATATTTTGCCAGCTTTCAAAAATTGCAGCTGAGTTTCGAAATACGGGTGATATTTATCTGGTTTCTTTTTTCATTATACGGTGCTATGCGGAAGAATAGGTTTACAGCAAATGGTCACAAGGGTTATAGTTGCTGTGTTTGAAACTGATTTTCCGAACTTTCAAACATTCTGCAGCTCGTATATGATCGTGCTTCCCATGATTGGAAGACACTTTAGCACTTGTGGCATAGTTCCGAGCATCTTGTGTGTGTTATTGAAAGCTTCCTTTGAAAACACACTGGGCACTGTTCAGCACGCTTGGCTTTCAAGATCCATACGTTATGGTACAGCAACGTTTAATCCACAATATTTTTGCGATCAGAGACAAATGTAGAATTTTTACCTCAACATACTTCATGAGACAGGGAATCAGATGATACCTCAAAGCCCATTCTATAAATTTTATCTATCTAGTCCAAATAGAGCAGAAGAAAATCGGCCCATTAAATGGCTCAGGCCCAAGGTAGCAAGGGACATATTTTTAGTACTTCATCCGACCTCCTTCCACTGATTTTCTCAAGTTTGACCAATATTCTGATAAGTTGGAGAGGCATAAATGTTTAACAATATCTACAACTGTACATACATTGACCTGGAACGGAGTCGGTGAGTCGTAGAAGGAAGAGATCTGCGAAAGGAGGTGGAATGTTTAGATAGGGCCAGATCAGTATGAGAGACACCATAAAGCTACACCGGGGTGAATATAACTTTTACTCCACAAATAGTACTGCGTCAAAAATCCTTTCATTTAGACCTAATTATCCAGGAGCGAGCACGGCGTGAATGGATATATGCACCGTGGAATAAATGTGGCGTTTCATTTGTACCTTTTAGTCTAGATAAGATCTTGCTGTAAAACTGGATTGATTGAGGATCTGGTTGTCCTTATTCGGATTTGTTGTTTATTCATCTGGCACGGACATCCTTATCTCCATCAATTTAACAAGTTCACTTATGATTGCAAATAGACAACACCTCCACAAATAGCTTGCATCAATTTATCCTGAACAGGCTGTCAATCGGCTCTCAGGGCGTGTGCCGATCAAATGATTCTGTCTGAGATAAGAGGTTCCATTATTCGGATGCGAGGAACTGAAAGAATGGAAGAATTGCAGGTTAATATGAGGGGCAGAATAAACAACTATGGATAACAAAGAACGACTGAAAAACTCGGCTTTCGGGGTTGAATGGTTTGCCTTTTGTGCAGAATTCACTGTTTATTGTGAGTGGATAATATAGCAGACGAGATAACTGAGAATTCAATTTACTGCATTATGCTTATTCGACCAGCAGTGGTCTTCACGTAAGTATTTCAATCAGAATAGGCACATGAGCTGATCGTTACCAAAAGTAGCCTGATAGACAGTAAGACAGCTGCAGCGTTTTCGTGAGTGGATTAATCGAACGCCAGCCAATCTTTCCACCTATACTGTATTCGCTAAGACACGTTGTAAGATATGATGGAGTGATTTTTGCCCAATCTTCTACCACGAATAACTGGGTGTAACAACCGTCGTTTGTCCAATTCACTGGATCACCGTCGCCAGCTTTGGACTTTTAAAACGAGATATAATGAAACTGCATGTTATTGGCACTGCAAACCAAGTGACAGAATATGGGTATCAGCGACTTCATGTCTTATGAGGGCTTTCCAACAGAGGAAAGTGACCTGTTGTATGTAGAAAGTAAAATAAGCACTTTAGCCCTTTATTGTCTGTCTCGAGTAAAAATTATTCTCAAATAATGTAATTTTTCGCCATTCGTCATCATGCCTTTTCCCCTAGGGACACTTTTAGCATTCTCTGTCTGTAGTCCTTTGAGAGGGTGAGTACGGAGGTTTATCTGAGTATGATGCCCGGATGAAACTTTGTGACTGTATCGCAAGATGGGGCTGAAGATGCAGCCTTCTCACTTATTACCAACTCTTCTTCTATCCCTTTCCCCATCTGCGATTTACAGTACAAGTTTACGCCGTTTTTCACAGCTGAGGCCAAAGATCTTGTGAGAAATCTCCTTCAGGCTGACTTGACTCGAAGATTCGGCAATCTGAAAAACGGTACAAATGATATCAAGCAACACAAATGGTTCAGTAGTGTTAACTGGGTGGCCACTTTCAAACGCGAAGTAAGTTCAGACAAAAGATTTACCGCAAACTATGATTCATTAGCCTATCATTTATATGTTTTGTGACAGGGGGCTAGTGGTAGGCTGCTGTAGCCGCTCACCATATGCATACTAGATAATTCAGAAGTTTCATCCTTGGTATGGACTCAGGTAGTTGGTTGTATGTGAAGATAGAAACAAACGCATCGTTCAAGTTTTCACGGGTTTATTGCTCAGAGGAAAATGTAACTCACACAACAGAGAAGGATGCTCAAAATACGGGGATCATTAAGCCACCCACTGACTTTCAGTCGGTTGGCGAATGGTGTCAGTCAATTGATCGCATCACGCACGATGGGAGCTGTGAATAACGTTTAAGTAAAGTGAACACGCCTCGATCAACACAGCGGAAGTAAAAGCTAACAGGTTTGATCCATTTAGAAGGGTGAAGCGGCCATGGTTACTTGTCGGTAACTCCGGACATCCCGGATACTGGGAAAAACTGCCTACTCTTTATTCTCGTAGCTTCACAACCCATCAGAATATATGTATTACTGACGCAATTATTCACCTACCTAATCTTCCAGTTACTTCTTGATGTATTTGGCCCTGGATGTCAAAATCCCAATCTACTTGTTTGCCCGAAGTCATAACGAAACAGAAATTTCGCGTACCTCTCGCGTGTGTCACCATATCAGTTTTACACTACCCGGATTGGGGACACCCTAAGGCCCATTTCTGGATGCAACTTAATTTCATGCAAATATGCAAAGTCGTTGGAACATCCTGGTTCAAGAAAAGCGATCACCATTGATTCAGACATTTCGATTGGAAAGTGGAACAAAGATCGTTTAAGTCACTCGGAATCGGTCGGAAGAAATTTAGCTGTGATCATGAGTGGCCTAGTCACTGTATATAAAGTTGGTCTGGTAAACCGATAAGTATTCGCTCTTGCTGACCACTAGAATGAATGACGTTTTAGATTACCTCATGGGTGCAGGTTAACCGAGAGTAGATGAACTGTAAAAAGCCGCTAAACGATGGTGCGTTTATGCCAACTCATCGAGAATAAAAAAATTGGTGCTTGGCTCTTCTAGAACACTTGCAAATGAAGTGTCACGATAAACTTGAATAGCAGTTTGTCGAGCTGAGACTTGGTAAATATTTCTTTGCTGCCATTTTTGATGGCACTGGCTGCCACGTCGTGGCAGCAACCAATCGAGAGAACAGCTCTTTGGAATTTTGAGCTTATTGAGCGTCATACTGCGGAGAAGAACTTTAGCTGACTCAGAGCATTCGGTAAAAGTGTCACTGGTTAACCAAATCACACCTGCGAACTGAGCGATCATGAAGCTATTATTGTGACGCTGGCTTCTTTTGGATTTTGTTCTAAGTGTACTAATCAAACAGGTTAATCGTACCGACTGGCTGCATGTACCAGTTTCACCGTGTCCAAAGTGGTCACGTGGTTCTGATGGGTGCAACTGACTGGTCTGAAGGAGATGGAGTACACTAACAACCAGTTTGACTGCGATGGAACACCTATGGATTTTTTTTACTGATTAGTCGATTGATTTCCTTTGACCCGATTACTTGATACGAATAAATGCAGCAAGCACGACTTAAAATTGAATTCTCAAATTTCGGTTAACCAAAGAGTGCTGGCTGTAAGGCACAGATCACGTGCAAAATTTTGCAGAGGTTGAAAATTCTCAAAACGGCATATTTAATCGCAAAAGTCAGGACTTTACTGTGTCCTAAAGACTCCTTTTGCACAAACTGATGCAGAATGGAGTGATGACACAGAAACCAAATATGGAATAAAAGCATCACGAAAAATGAAATTTAGTGTGTATCCAAATATTCTACCTTACTTAGTGAAACATTAGCGCAATATTCCTTGAGTAACCCTGTCAGATTCATGCTCTCTCGTCATTACCAGAAGCAAAAGACTCTCCGAGGATAAAAATATGCAATTCCTTGCAACCTTTACATTTTCTCCTAGAATTTTATTACACGTGGTCGTGAGGAACAGTGGAAGAATAATCGGTCAATTGAGCCTTCCTGCATATATTTGCAGGAAAATGTAATAGCTTAGGTTATTTAAGGTGATTTTCTTAGAAGCGTGTTAACGAGTCATGAAACGTCCGAGAACAGATGAATGGAGGAATGTGAAAGGTGTTAAAGAATTCCCAAATCCAGCGATTTAGGGGAAGATAGGATGCAAAATCATCGTTCTAAAACTGAAAACGAGAGGTTTGGTGTGGATGGTTCGACGAAAAGAAAGAACGAAAAAGACGAGATGCCTGACTGTCAGTTGTAGGGAGTAAACAACATAGGCCACCCCAATGTAGGAGCGACCGAATGAATAAGGAGATTCTGGGTCTCTGTGGCAGGCAAAGGATGCGAGGCTGTTGGTTAGGGAGGGAGCAGTGATAATACGAATGACCTTCTCCCAGAACTCGTCTATCCTAAATGAAGAAAAGCATGCAGTCGTTCTCCGAACATGACAATGGCACTCCGCACCGGACCGAAATCGCACTTGGTACAGAAGAATAACTAGAGGTAAAATGAAGTATTTTCAAACCTGGAAAGGCGGTAACAGTTCTGAAAAAGCGGTTTCAACAAATGAGCGACTGGGAGAAAGTACCTACCACTGACGGAACAAGACTGCTGGGAATGGCACACCGCTGCAACTCAGAGGAAACACGACGGCAGGAGGGAGCTTTATATTGAACGCAGTTGTAGCTGATCAACTATATTCAAAGGTTTTTGCAGTTTCGGTGTTCAGGATGCGATTGGCCGTCATAGAACTGGGATGAATGAGCGTTGGAACTCAAGGATGAAATCGCCAGCAAGGGTATGGATCTTAAAAGTACATATGGGTGGATGCTATTGGTACAGATTCGAATTGAATTAAATGATGAAAACTATTATTGATTTTGTAGGTACCTGATGCGACTCTATCAAGACAGGAACGGTGTCCACACTATAGAGAAATCTTGCAATCCAGACTGTCTAGTTCCGGTCCTGGTCAAAACTCCTCGAACTTGTTTAGTGATACCAGACTCTGTTCATCGAAAGAGTTCGAGGCAGACTATCACACGCACGACACTAGAGAAGCCGGGTGCGCCTGAATCCTTGTTAGCGGTCAAGCAGCATATCAGTCCAGTTATTGGCAACTTTGGAAGAAGAATTAGGAACGCAACAGTTCCGCAGAAATAATCCAGTAGATTGACACTTACTCTTCTGGTTGGTCATGAAGTTTGGCTGGAAAAGGCATCGCTAATAGGCGGAGTTAGATAAGGTGAAGTCAGATGAACCAATGAGGTGGTAGTTAGGAACGAACTTGGAGGCAATGCGACGTCGCAGTTACATCCCGGACTGAGAATGATGCCAGATATTTTTCGAGATAAACACCTTTTATTGAGAAGAGAACATGCCTCAACATCCACCTAGCTGGTGTTTGAGAGGAAGGAAGGTTATCCAATGGCTGATGAAACAGAAATAGTAGAGTTTAGATATTTAATTGGATTCAGACAGCCTCAGTAGTCTATGGGGCCAACTTACCTTGGTCGATCTGATGATGTCTTGAAGGGTATTTTTCTTTTTGTAGAATTATCCGTCTCGGCCGGACGTAGTGATGTTTCATGCCGCAGTGGAGTTTAGTTATATTCTCTTTTGATTCTGTCTGTAAAATACCTCATCGTGGGACCAACAAACGAGGTTCGCCACTGGCACACAAATGAGTGCGCTTTGAAAGCCTGTGTTTCAGTTGAAACCCGAGTGACGGGGTGTAAGTGAATCTCAAGCGTAGAGTAAAGCCTTATTTTTGGGATCGATCAAAACTATTAGCCTTCTGGTAACCAAGATAGCAAATGTGTCCCTCTAAATGGAAGATTCAGATCAAACTGGCTCTTAAGTTCAAAAAGTGCATAGATTTACAATGAGTCCAAGATTTTAGATCTTTAAATCGACGGCCCTTGGAACAAATCTTCGACGCTTTCGGCTGAACCCGGTATTAGATAGGATATCGCCGCTAAAATTGTCCATAATCGGTTTCGGTATACTGTGTGCTGTGTACTCCCGTTCCATTCCTTACGTAAATCGGCATCGAAAAAGTACAGTCGGCCGTCGTGGCAACGTTTTGGAGCAAACTGAATGGTAAATTTGAGAGAATTGAATGATTTCAATTCATCGATGGAGTTGATACTATCTTCCGCGATGTCATCTATTTGACGGCAATGGAGCGTGCATTGTTGCATTTTTGAAGTTAGCGATCGGGCTCCAAGGTTGATTATGGAGAAACATGCAGTGTCCAAGTATGACATTATCTCTCACTCAGTATATTTAGTTGTTGAAACTGGATTGCACATTATGGGTGCAGTAAAATTTGTTTATGGTTTGAGATAATGATTTCGACGTCTCTGCCAGCTCACTCACAAGCGTAACTGATTGGTGAATGGTGAAACCAGACCACGAGAGAACATGTAGTGACCATCCAGTCTTAGTTGTTTGACCCTCCAGACGAGACTGTGTATGTCCATCAGATTATTTCCCTTTCAATAGGTCCCACCAAGCTGATAAGCCAGTTTACCATCGAAGAATGTGGGGAATTAAAAGTAACTAAATGTGATCGCATTGGTAGACCTCACTTTCGGCTGATCATGCAGAGAATAGGACCGATGCTGTCGAAGTTATCAGCATCGATGAGCCCTATCTGCTTCAGGCAACGGCGATGGAATCTTCTCAGTTGCGTTCCCCCATTGCTTTTACGTCTTGAGTAGTGCAAAAGAGTGCTTCTTCTCTTGCTACTACAGTCTGCTCACTTCATTAAAACGCTTCCAGCCTTTCTACCAGCCCTGGAAAACAGCGTTTTATGGTTGGTTTGTGGACGTTTTAATGCTTCAACGCACCCATGTGTCAACGGATGCTTGGGCATTGATGACAGGAACTGACTAATGCCAATCCTGGTTGTTTTATATCGTGGTCTTACATTTGAACTTAGTTAGATAGCTCACCTTCAAAGTGCATATCAAGATCGCTGTGGCTAGATTTATGACCAGGACAATGTCTCCAGCAATTTATGGTTCAGTCGTACCAGGAAATATTGTACGCGTAATTTTCTGGATTGTTGAGAAATTTTGAACACGGTATAAGAGAATTTAGTTAGCTAGCAAGTACCCTGTTAATCGTCTTGAGTTGTTTGGTCGCAATCAGACGGGCACAAGCGTTGAAATGTAAACTTCCGGGAGCTGACAGTGCTTCTAGAACGCCAGAGTATTGAGTCTGTTTTCGTCCCATACTTCGAATGCTTTAGAAATTGGTATCATCTTCGTTCTTTGTAGTAGGGAAGTTACAGAATATGTAAAGTTCGTTTGTCGAGTAGCGCGCTTGAAACGTAGGCTTGCAGTGCTAGGGGAACAATTTGAGCCAAACTTACTACGAGCCACTTGTATTGATGCCACAAAGGAAAGACGAAAGACAGTTGTGAATAAGTAAGTGCGGGGTCCCGCACTCGAAACGAAAACAGTGTGGTGATTATGTTGTTGTGAAGGTGAAAGGAGGTCTAAAACCGAAGCTTCCTTCAAAAGGAAACGAGGTTAATAAGATGCGTTGAGTTAGCATCATTCTTTAAACCATGAGTCCTGTAGAACTCACGCATGCTTGGGTATATCGAATAACACAATTTTAGATAGTTTGCTGTATAGGTTTTGTGAACCAGCAACTTTACTCAGTGACATAGAGTAGCGAACCATACAAGGACACCTTTGATTCGGTGGGTTTGCCTCCACGAATGACATTATCAGGTGTCTGCTACCTCGGATTACATGTTATAATTTACTCTCATCTATCAAGGTGGACTCCATAGTAGCGTCTCGTGCATTCTGGCAGTGAGTGCGGCAATACAACAAAGTGAAGTAGCACGTTACAGGTGCCAAATAAACCTCCTCCGAAAAAGAATCTCTTGTAGGCAGTTGTGCACTGGGCTTCGATGGACACTGGTTTATGTTACAGGCTTTCTAGTGTCACAGTCTATCCTCGAATGTGGGAATGATTAAACATGCCAAATAATATTCGGATATACCTCGACGTTGTGTGATGCTCAAGCATTCATTATGCATTTGCGACGTGACTGGCAAGTTGCTGAAGCTACATCATTGGTTGCTATAATATCTTAATAATGAGCAGGTGGATAACTATGCCTCAATTATCTCCTGAACCGATTGTTTCTTGTGTTCTCTAGGGGCGATTTGCCAACCTCTTCCTAAATTTTCAACAAAACTCAAAAAATAATACTTTATTGGATTTAGGGAATGCCTTAAGAATTAACATACGTTGACCATGGCTACCGTGAATGGAAAAAACATCATATATGACGCGGAGTTGATGTTCACACTTCAAAAATGGACGTCCTTTCACCGTGCAATAGCGGTTCATCAGTCAACAATGGTGGTGACCTAACGTCATGACACAGTTCTGGGAGCTGACTTGCTGACCACTGAAGTAAGAAAATATAAGATTCGCAACATCTGAAGCGAGGGTGGTACCCAAATCAGGTGATGCCAATTTCGAAGCGGATATTTTGAAAACAGTCTCATGTATGCATGTTGAACTTTAAGGACCATCAGGTGCGAAGTATATGTAAGCGCATTCATTGCTACATAGGCCGCTCAACATCAACAACAACCGTAGAGCACAGATGGCCCAAGACGTGCCAACAGACGCAAAAAAGGGACGTGGCTGCAGTACACACGCATTATGTTTACTTTAGCGTACAAATACATGTGGAATCAGACAGCAGGAGAAGGTGTCATCGCAATCCACTTTCGTGCCGAACTTATCCTGGTTCGAAACCGGTATAGTGCGGAACGAACTAAATACCACGAATTCAGTGGCTTTTAACGAACAAATCATCCACTGGTAAACAAACAGCTCTAAGCGTTGGACATTTCAACAAGATAAAGCTGATTCGCCCTGATAAGGAGTCACTCGGGCAAGGAGGTAGTCTGGCCCAGATTGTACAGACATTTAGTAGAAGCACTTAACTCAAACGAATGATTTTCTCGTTCATTATGTTCTCTCAGAGGTATTTTCACTGTAACCGATGTCACAATATCCAGTGGTCTCTTATTTCTATGCAAAGCGAATAGTGGTATCAAATCCTGACCAATTATCATGGCACGATGGCTCATGGGTTTCAAGGTAGACCATTCTTTTTGCGAATTTTCACCTAAACGGCTTATCTGTCATCATAATGAGTCGTGAAATTAAAACTTGTTATCACAAAAACGATAACAGCGTCGACAGCAACCAAAACAACTTATACCGGGAGGTTGGGATCAAGATACGGTGCGGTAGGATAAATTCGACGTTTCGGGTGTGGTGGACAATATTTTTAGTAATGTCTGCCTTTTGGTGAGGGCGAACGATAACGATGGTTGGGTCGGGCGTCATGTTATCTGACTGGCGTGTTCTTGTCATTAGGCGTTAGTCGGCTGCAATCACCATGCGTGTTTTGGCCCCGACCAAGTTGGGTCCTAGGCAGTTCACTAACGGACTTGAAGAATGCAATTCAGATCATTCGTGGATATAAACTGCGTCAAATAACCTTAAGAGACCGCATGCGCTTCATGGCCGTGCACTGTAAATTGTGACTAGAAGATTGATTGGGATTAACCCCGAACTTTATGCTTGGAGGTACAGCGGCCGACGTGGTAGTTAAATCCACCTATTGAGCGGCTGTATACATCTTTGCAGACTGGTCGAAAATGAAATCTCTTTATGGACCGAAGATATCATGGCAGATTTTACTGACTTTCACTGCGCACATCAGTTGTGTACTGTTCATACACCTGCCAGGAACAGATTATGTACTAAAACAATAAAATACTGATCTGTCTAAAAATGTGACGACCTTTGATATGTGCCCGTCGTTAATGTCTGTGAACCGTTACCTGATTTCAGCTGGAACGTCGAGTTTGGAATGGTTAGAGGTTCAGCGAATCGTTTTCGAAATAAAGGTCACCCGACATGATTGAGTTACTCATACTCCCACTTCTGCTGATTCGATCATACACATCAAATGACAGGACCTAACGTTAACAGCTCTCTATGTATAACTGTGCACTGGATAGGAATGGCATAAAGATATAAGCAACTGGTTACGCAGCATGAATATCCTAGCCAGACACCTACCTATCTGGATGAGGGACAGCATCCACCAGTGACCAAGCCGGTGTTAACGGAGCACTTAAGAGTTAGCAGGGGTCCCGGTTTCCACCTCTCATGTATTACACCGTATTCTAATAAGGAAATAAAGACTCAGCATCAGGCGAATGATTAGGTGATTGCACACAGTGTGCTGGGACTCTTCTGGTGGCCACCTATTTTTCGATCAAGGAAAGTAACCATTGTAACCCAATTTCTCTTCATTCAGGGAAGTTTAACGGAAGTGAACAGTGCTGTCAGGATATATATTTGCTTCCCTCCTAACCTGAACTAGACGATATTTCTTAGAGTTGTCGGCTTGCCTTGCGAAAATGCTCTATGTAACTCTGTCATAATATATCTTAGTTGGTATAATTTTTGAAGAGTTTGTAGACCTAGAGTGCACGTAAATATTAATGGGGGAAGTTTTGATGATGCGTGAGTTTTCACTGAACATTTTCTCGTTCATAACTGGAATAACTTTTAGCCGAAAAAGACTGTATATCCATTCCGTTATTTTGGAATGTGATTATCCGTAAAAGTTGGTTCTACTACTGGCTTATATTTGACCACTGAAATCCGTCGAACAACTTTATTATAATTTATTCACAGCGCTGGAACCAAAACGCGCACTAAATAATGCAAGAGGATGCAATCCAAACCTTGCATCTCATTCCCACAGCTGATTAGAAATCCATAGATCAAGGATTTGTTTCTTGTTTCCTCCAATTAGCGGTCTTGGAATTGGAGGGTGTGCTACTCTGATCACATTTCCACGTACTAATCCAACTATACAAACGCCTCTCGGCGGTTGGCGTGTGTGGACGTTTTGTATGGAAACGTTAAAATCTTTCCATTTTCGTGCGGAAATTAATGATCCGTAATCACGTCTTTTAGGTAGCAGAGTATGAATATATAACTCATCATAACCGCTATTCTCTCTCCGTTTTTCTGTCGATCCCAGGTAACGGCACCCATCATCCCCAGTTGCAAATCTCCGGGTGATTCGAGCAACTTCGATTTATACAATGAAGATCCTCTAAAAGAAGGCGGTCCGGAAAAATTCGCAGCTGAATTTGCCAACTTTTAGGCGATGCAATTTGTCCTTATCCTTTTGAAGCTTTGGTTTTACCTGGCCACCTCGTGAAAACACGGTGAGCAGCGCATTTCCAATTGTGATAGACTCTTGACGATCAAGCTTTTCACCTACATCTACACAGCTCAACTACTACCACTACTATTTCCCACTGCCTGCCCATATGGGGACCGCAATATTCGCAACTGACAATTCTCACAGTCTTCGAAAAGGACGACAGTCTTGTGGGATATTTTACTTTGTAATATCTCACACGTTTTCAACAAAATCTACGTATGTCGCATGAACACAATCTTTTGTAAGCTTGAATATACTTCTTTTTAAATAACTTCTGCTTTTGTAGGTTCGGAATAGCAGAAATGATGGGCTATTTCAGTAGGCTACCAAGCTGAATTTATATGCCCAAAATATTCCGGAAGCAAGTCGTTGGTGAATTAAGAGTTCTGCACAGGACTGAGCTGAGAGTAGGTCCACACCCATCTTCCATCTATGCAGAAATCCTGTTGGCCGTTGGGCAAAATCAAGAGCAGTCTCACTCTTTAATTTCTTCACTGTTGGACATTAATTGTTCACTGTGCAAAAAGAACAATAGGGTGAACCCCTGCTGTTTTATGATTGTTTTTCTGTCCTGAATTTAATATTTGTTCAGGTAAATTTGCCTAATCGTTGATTCCAAAATTCGTTTCATGCATACACCCTAATAATTCCTGGAGGAAGGATTGCCCAACCAAAACTCGCAAAAGAAGATATTATCGAAGTTAGCTCCTAAACTTATTGAATTTACCCTCCCGGAAAGTTTCGTCCTATTGTTGAGGCAAAAAGGCCTCCTCTCCAGTATTCAGAACCCTTTTTAAATCCATTACAGCTGTTACCTGTTGCACAACACTAGTGAATTACTGATATTCTCATTATACGTTTCAAAAGCACGGAAGTATACTAGGGTGATGTCTTGGGTAAAATAGGATAAAACCAAAAGATGTCATGGTTACACGCGGAATTACTACTGTAAATGGAGAGGAAAGTCCCGTTGTTTGCTTCGAAATGAATACATATTGAGTTATATCAACTTAGGACATAAAGTGCACTTTGGCCGGAATGCCTTTTTTTGAGAAAGGCAGTGTAGTTGAGAAAATTATTCGATAACACCAGTCTTTACCACCATTTGTTTGGGAGTCGCGTGACCTGGGTAATAATCACTACGCTCACCACCTGTACTTGTGTGCCCACTTTGTTTTCTCCCATATTTTCTCAGTTATGTAAACAAATTCTACTTGGATGGGAAGTACAACACATCAAGCGATCAATTGACAAACCTAGATGTGGCGCGTGTTGTGTCGTTCAGAGATTTTAACTATTAAGAGAGTCCAACTGATGTGACACAAAATAGCGGAAGATCAGCAGCCCTTTTGCTGCACCGTACCACACATACTATCCAACGACATGGCGCCTAATATCGGTATAATTCTACAGTGCGAGCGCATCTCTGTTTCGGATAATATTCGTCGCGAGCGAGGGTTAATTAAGCGTTTCTAACTGACTGTTTAGCTTCTTCAGCGTAATGGTTTCAATACGTGTGTTCCGAAAAGAATGCAGCGGAATCATCGTAAAGTCATCATCCATCGTATCGGAAAAAATCTCACCGTTCATCAAAGAACATTATTTTGCACAATCATGCCCTCTTTTCCAACGAATTTACTGAATATGAACGAAAGTGGTGTTGTGGATTTCATTAAATTAATGCGCGACCTTGACTCAAAAACTCATCTAGCCTCCATATATCACTGGTTTGGCTGCCTACACTTAGCGGTTCTTGATTTGAGCATTGATTTTTACAGAAGACAAAGTCGCTAAGCACACAAGTGAAAAATATTCAATGTAAATGACGTGGACCGTTGATTGGCTTGCAGTTGCTTTTCTTGTCAACTTTTCTCGAGATTTTAGTTTAACTTCCTTGAGTTTCTGTCAGCTGCTGAGATCTTATGCTGTATCCCATAACCAATATTCTGATATTGATGCAATCTAACATGAGGAAAGTCGCGCATGAAAACAGTTGTTTCTTCCAAGCTTTGAGATGCGCTCATTCTAGGCAGTTTTTTGTTTTATTTGGGTCATATAAATCACTGGAACCGCATGAGAATCTATGGTAAATCTCCTCTGGCTTGTCAGAACCGAAGAGCTTATATGAAAGCTGATCAGTAGTCTGGATGTATGCTAATGTAAGCATGAATGTGCTACTTTCGACCTCCTCACTTAGGCTATATTATTACCAAATGGGCTGGAGGTACTGCAAGTTACGGTTGCGAGCATATTTAAATGGTTGAACTGTTTTCCGAATGATGATGACTGCTAAATGACTTGCATTCAAGAAAGCACAAAGAAGATGTCCATATATGTATATTTGAGAGGGTTTAGAAAAGTGAAATTCGGTCAGGCTATATTCAGTACGGCTACGGATGACCTTTTGGATACATTTATGCAGCTAGGTGTCTACCCGCACTGTTGTGGGTCATGACAAAGATGCAGCAGATCACGGCAACGACGGTATGCGTTGAGTTAATAATAGTGGTAGCACTTTTGCTCATAGTTCTTTCTAATTTATTTTGCCGCAGTATATGTGTTCTGTTCAGTCCCTCATGGTATGGTTATTATGAAATGTAGACAGCAAGCCTACAAATAGTCACGGTATGGGAAGCCGATTGTTCCGTGAGGAACTCAGTCAGAGGTTCAACTGTGTTTTATCTCACTTGCAAGAACTTGAACAGCACTGCAGGAGTTTAGAACAGTAGATTCTTCAAGGTCCTGTCGCAAGTGAACATTTGAAAATTTGGTTGCAGTGGATAAGAAGTAAGCACATGAGTTCTGTGTCACTGAGTTCGGTCGATCAGGGTAATGAATAGAATATTTTGGCTCGATAGCCAGTATACGCTTACAGTAACCGAAAACGGATGTGGCCACTCGCTAGATACTGACCGATCAAAATACTGCTCAAGCCAACATCTGTTTTGGGGCTCAAAACAACCTGATGAACTCAAAACAGAATAGACAGAAAAGCAAACAATTGTCCCTAGGCCAGTAGGGTAGGTATTGATAATTAGCGTTCTTATCTGTTGGTCAGGTGGCAGCTGATTTCTATTCGGTAATTGATTTTGCCAACGTTAGACCATGTGAGGGAACATGTTCACTTCAGGGTTGACGCTCATAGTGGTCTTCTACAGTTGCAGTGCATTCATTCATACAGTTGAACATTTTGTTGTAGCAGATACTACTGCTCTACATCCTGCACGTTCGCCCGAGACAACAAAGTGGCTATATAAAGGAGGAGGAAGATGGCTAATGTTCCTACGTTTCAAGCAGTTGAATTTGGGCGTGCGCAATAACGAAAAACAGCATTAATGTTTTTGGAAAATAATAATTTACTGGTCACCGAAAATGAACACCTTCATTGGTTCGGTATAGTCGTGTTGAATTCACAAGAACTTAAATTCACTGGTTTAACTGAAAACATTTTAGTGCTTCTGCTTGCAGACGCTCAGTTTCTAAACCGACTAAAATTATTGAACACGCTGCGACGTTACAGACAACCTGATATCACATCGATACCCAAGATGTCGTTGACCGACAGTAGCCGGTATGACCGAAGCTGTTTGAAAGGTAACGCCGACCTTATCAAATAACTGGTTTAATGTGAGTGTCTGACTGAATGGATTAGTTCGCTACACTTATTTGGTTCTGTCGGGGTTCAGGTTTCATCATGTATGCTACTCGGGTGTGCATTGTAAAACTTCAGTATAAAGCATGCCCCAGATAGTCCAGGAGGAACGTTAAGTTAATCTGATGTGCCTAGATCTATATAAAATCCGCCTGAAGGAGTTATATAGCCTACATAGTCTGTCCCTAATAAAATTAGTAATCATACCAATCGTTCAGCTGTAGCTTTTCTTTAGTATCCATCAGTCATGCCACTGATCAAAGCACGAAGCACTGAAGTTACCCAAGCCTAGGCAAGTGCAAGGCTGTGAATAGTAGCGCTGTCTGGAAACGTTGCCCGGTCCATAAGTGGAGACGCATTTTCTATGAGATATTCTGTCCATTGGTCATGTTTAACTTCAGCTAAGATAACACATGAGTACGCTGAAACAGAATTTCCTTCATCTCGCTTAATCAGTCCACGATATTTCAGTAGATATACTGAAAAAGTAGGGGTTTTATAGACCGTGCTTGAACTAGCATCCAATATTTATGGGGATTTGAACTGCTGAGTAATCGATGCATGGGGTTTCTCCAGGATAAAAAGCCATGGAGAGTTAATAATACCAATGTCACTCGCCACTGCTTGCCTTCCTCGCAAGAACTTCCAGCCACGATCACAATAGAAGAGAAAACGGTATCAGCCGCATGTCCTGGAAAACTTTCAGTTAAATAATGCGGAGTGAAGAGAACGGATTTGACATAGACCCACCGCGTTTTACTGGTAATTTGCACTCAGCACCAAACCATCACATTAGATTCACAAACCCCACCCTGTCTGAGGTATGCTCCATTGATTCGAATGAGATTACGTGATGAAGGCCCACTGTAACTCCGGAGGCACCAGCAGTCCATTTTACGCTGGACACTAAACAGTACGCTAAGAGGAAGGCGTTCAACAGAGGTTCTTGGGCATGTGGTTACGACTCTCAAAAGTGCACTCTGGGTGCTGTGAACCAAGTAGAAACGACCCATATGAGCAGTGAGCATAGTTTTGCCTTCAGTCTTAAGCACTCTATGGTGGACAAGGTGGATGTAAAGCTTCGGTAACGAGTGCGACGCATTCGTGTTCTGTGTGAAGAAAAAAATTTATCGCTCTTCATGCACAGCTGGAAAACTTTGACTAGAGAATTTCCCTACGTGACCTAGCTTGCAGCAGTCCATTCCTGCAGGCCACTGCATGACTCTAGAGGTCTGGATCTTTTTTCCTCTTGTTTTCGGGATGGAATTCGCCCGTTGTCTTCCAGAAACCACCCGGTCGGAGCTCATTACCAACCGTCTTTAGAGGGAATGTGAAGCGAAAGAATGAAGAGTTTTTTTCAGTAATCGGTTTATAGCTTAGCAAACTGAGTTCTACTGAAGTGCGCTACACATGGACTGATAGCCTAACTATGAAACGTGAATAAAAACTCCAAATTCGCTCATTTAGATGGCATAAGACAAAGCTTTTGGTATGGTAAACGCAGGAATTCGGTACAAGACCCTAAGGCAGATCGGAGTGGTTTTAATTTGCAGAAGCCCATTCGTCACTTAAAGAAATCCCTTATTTCAGTTGACATGGACCAGTTCACGCTTCTCATTTATCTGTTTTCTCACCTGGAGGTGGAACTGTTATCCTTGGTATTCTCAGTAACCCTGAAGGACAATGACTCAAGTCTCCATTTAATAGCGCCGGAAAGCTTTAACATCATGCTTGCTACTAACGCTTCTTATGTCCGGACCAGGTAACTGGCAATTTTAATAAATTTTCCTTCACTTGGCCATTATTCATTTATCCAGCCGTTGATGTGGCGACGGAGGGAGCCACATCAGGGATTTTTCGTTTGTCATTGTGGGCGAAGTCGTGGGTATTCGAGTGTAAAGCACACCACAGGACAGCGAGAGACTGATTCCTTTGACCAACAGCGTGAAATTTAACACCATTCTAATGTTAGAATGTTCCGTGTGTTTCCTGAGTGTCTTCTGTTTCTGTAGCTTGGAATATCATTCAGGATTAAACATGCGTGCTGAACTCGTCTCTATCGATAGAAGGTACTTGTTTTTCTGGCAATTAATTGCGGAGCAATTTACAGGGTCCATTTAATAAAGAAAGGCTTGAGATCTACTTTAGCCAATACAGCAGAGTTTTTTGTGAAGCTACTCTGGTACAACTCCAACTCACCCTCTCACGGTTTCAAGACGTAACAAGTGATCTTCGATCCTGCTCGTCATAATAGATGAGTTTAACGTCTTGACGATCAAAAATGATATCAAGAGATGAGTGAAATTCGGGAGTTTTCGTGAATGTAGATTTTATCAATCTTGCCTTCATTTTACAAAGGCCGCTGGTTCCTCGATGGTTTTGGGTTCTCCGTATAAAAGGTAGGTACCTTAATCTGAACAGTTGGCGGTTAGCACTAAGCAAAATTGATGAAAAGATGAAGGGACCTAGTTCTCTATCGGTTTACCAGTAATGCTTACAAACAACTAGCACACCCAACAAATAACCTATACTAATAGTCCATGAGCACGCTGGTGTTTTCTCTACGATTGGCGACGAAATGTTTACAAGCAAAGTGCCAAGATTGTCGAATAGATTAAGGACCACCCGATCTAAAATCAAACCTATAAAAAACTCCCAACTGTAACTTGCTATAATCTTAGTATACTAATGAGAAATGAAAGCCCTCTCTTAGGTTTTTTATCTTTTGGTTTAATCACCCAAGGGTGACAAGCAACCTCTGATTTACCACACAGTTCACACGACGAAAGAGGTTCTACAAACCTTTTTGGCAGTGTGATAAACATCATTGGTAGAGAAATGGGGTGATTGAAGCTCAGTTTGAACCCCGCAAGTTGACAGCATACAATTATGTCCTCAACTAACGGTGAACATGGTTGCAACTGATCAAGTAATTAACTGCACTGTTATCGGAAGTCACTTGCAAGGAATCTGATGAACTATCGGTCCATCAACCAATTTAGCAATAAATATTGGTACTTCCTACTTTGTTAGAACAGTCGGTCAAGTCCTACCACAGAAAACGTTTGACGTCTAACTGTTTACATGAAAGTTAGAAGTGTAGGCTGCGGTGTACAACTGTATCATAAGTGCCTCTAATCGAGATGCTCCATTTGAGTTGAAAATGTACTGGAGTTTCAAGGGGATAGGTAAGAATGATGAGGTAAAATTTGGTGCAGACTGCTCAAGTTCCAACTACCTGGACTTCAGTATTGACCACTTGTGGATCCCCGAATCATAACAGATGATAAAATGGCAAGGAAGTGTTCAGTAGAAAAAGGCACTGTTTCTGAAAAACAACATCGACTATCGACAAAATCACACTGGAAACATCATTTGGACTGGTTAGCATGACACTCAATAAGGAGGAACCATTAAGACATCAAAAGGAAGAAATAATGTATCTATTACCGAAAGTCTACCAGCCAACCTGCAAGCCCAATCATCAGCTAGTTTTGAATGCGGAATTCCCATTCTTATCCAGGTGTTGGATTATTCCGCGTTCGAAATAAACGACATTTTGTGAAAAAGCTCATTATTTTGTTGAAGAATGGAAAATTAGTTTCAACATTTGAAACCAAACCAGCTGAATTGACCTCAGACACAATTCAGTACCTGTCAGTGTAGAGTGTAGGATCAGATGCACTGAAGTGTACCATCTTTACCATTCATAAAAGAGGCTGCAAGTTAGAATTGAGACATGATATTTAGAATAAATTGGCTTATTACTGAAGTTAGTTAGTGCCCCCACATTAGTGGACATATTTTTGGGCAAGATCTCCAATATGGAACTTATCATATGATATCTTTCCTCAAACATCACAAGAAACTAATGCAATCCTCCATAAAAAGTCCTAATTAGGGTTAGCGAAGACGTGAATTCCCTTGTGAAGCCAGCGAAATAGCTACCAAATTGCACATGTGCAATACAAAAAGGTAGAGCGAACGAATGGACGGTTTTTTATTTACGAGCAGTGCATTGCAGTAATTTTTCTCCAAAGCGGACCACCCCACGGCTCATTTAACAAAAAACAGCTCCCATAGGGACTAAAACGGATCGTTTTGTAGGCCAGTGAAGCAGCTGCCAGACGAAGAGAGTCTAATATTCTTTTTAAACGTGTTTTATCCACCCGGAAAACTGCACAGTTTTGCACTAAGGAAGCACCAACTAGTGTACCACGCACATGAACTTCGGTTTACAGCCACCCGATGCAGCGGCCGTAAATTTTATGTTTGAAATACTGTAGCAAATTGCGAAGTGGCTTCTAGTGTTCAAAGACAATACGAAAAATGCCACAGATCACAGTTTGATGAATATTGTTCGCAGGAAGTTCAATGCCAAATGTAGTGCAAATCTGGAAAGGATTCTTCAATGAAAAGAAACGTGACAAGGAATCACCGTTTTTTGGATATCCATCGTTCTAGAAATCAACCATTTCTGTCCTATGGTGTACCATTTTCAATAATTTCAGTGTGGCGACTGAACAACTCACGAATACATGTGTCTAGAAAACGGAACTCCCATCCGTCCCCTTCTACTAGACCCTTTTCATATTTACCATGCCATTCGCGATGCGCTACACGGCTGATCAATCGCCAAAAGACAGGTATTGCTGCCCATACCATGTCTTTCAGTGCATTAGATTTTGAGTAATTTTCTGTTGCGTTATTAAAACGCCTCTTGATTCACAAGGTGAGACTATTCAAAAGACTGCTTTTAAGTCATACTTTTGCTGTCTTAATTCCGCAATAGTGGTTTCTTCTGGGGATAACTAGAAACGTAATGACTGACGTTGTAGTCATTTATAAGTGCATTATATACCTAAAGGGACCCGGACGACTTGTCATTTCTCGCGCGTAATTTTAATGAAAGCTGAGGAGGAAAGAATGAGTCGGCACATCCTTTTAAATAGTCCTTTTCCAGATAAATTAGGGAGATGAACCAATCAAAAGCACCAGGAGACCAGAATTGTTTTTCTTTTAGGTTTCGTTTTGAGTACAAAAATTCAAAACTGTTGGTAGTGTAGTAGCTGAACACTGAATTTACGTTGGCTAGCGCATTTTAAGATAATTTCTTATATTCATTTTTGAGCTCTGAACCATGCATTTATTTGGAAAAACGCATCCGCTTGGTTCACACTACATGCCGTGGCATAACTGCCAGAAAGTATTAATGAATGAATGCATGAAGCAAGGTAATCGCAAAGCCAAATTAAAAAGCTACAGACTCGTAGCTCTTCAAATAGAACGTACTTTGCTTCTAGAATTTGGGGATAAATAGCATCAAGATGTGTCCTGTCTGTAGACTCGTAGCTCTTCAAATAGAACGTACTTTGCTTCTAGAATTTGGGGATAAATAGCATCAAGATGTGTCGCTGTCTGTAGCAGGAACGGTTTCAAACAACAGTCATCGTCTTCGAATTCCTCCAATTCACTGTATTCCTCATAAATTTCCGGGTAACTCTTCGAGGAAGTTGGGGTGCTGTCCCTGTGTGGAGATGATTGAGACATCCTATGCTACACCGTTAAGAGCAATAAGCTCACATGCAATTGACAGCAGTTTTGGGTTTAGATATCCTTGATTTTACCAGCTAAATCACATAGACACCACTAAGTAATACATAGATTATAGATGCATCAGAGAAACGGACGACAGCGCGAAATGTATCCACACATCCACACTAGGCGGATGGTCAACGGGGAACGACACAAAAAGCTTCCTGCTGTTTGACGAAAGATCGCTCCAACCCGGACATATTCTTTATTCTGATTACAAATGACTTCCCAATGTGCACGCTGTATGCCTATGGAAGAACCAATATGCGCAGGTGTCTATAGGAAAACTCGTTGTATATTCTGGTATCGGTAACTGGAAAGTCTTAGAGCCTGGAGCGTTCTGTATACCGACAAATAAAGACGACTTTGGCCTATTGTCTGATTATCCTCAACTTTTCTGCAAGGATCGATATTCATCCAGTACAGACGTTTTAAATACTTTAATCCTTCTATTATTTGTTTAAATAACTTTGCGACTGGTTTAAACCGAAATTCATGCCTGACTGAAATTCACCAGCGGATGTGTTGTTCGGAAAATGAGTCCGAAACCCTTAAATGAGAGGTGGACTGCTCCATCTCCTTAGGGTCGCCCTGGTGATCTCAATAACAAACAGGATGCTATTGTGAATGAGTTTTATAGGTATACCCATTAGGCACATGAAAAACCTTACTACTGAAGTCATCTAAATGATAAAAAATAATTTGCGACAAATTGTTCCCTTGAAGGTTGGAAGTTTTTCACTATTGAAAAGTGTTCTACATAACTTGGAGTGCAAACGTATAGGAATAAGGTGCCTTTATGTCATCTTAGCTGTTCCGCTTTTGAAGTGAAAATTATAAGTGAACTTAAAGGATGCCTTACGACACCACACATGCACGTTCACAAACGTGAAGTGGCGCTGACAGATATCATTTACTGTAATTATTAACCATACTGCCTTCCTATATCAATATGGGAAACTGAATCGGAAAATATCTGAGTGATACATTGATTCGTGAAAAAACCTTACGGTATAATCATCATCTACAGATGTTTATTCTTAAAAAGAAATGGTTGCTTAAAAAGGTGGCACAAATGAATTTGCATCTGATCAAATCTTTCCACGCAAACCAACTTTTTAAAAACTTTAAATTCTAGGGATATTTTACATGGACGTTCACAAGACACACAAGTACTGTGACTGCTTTGGTCTATTTAATTTTTTGAAACAAGCCCAGCAATCTTGTAGACCCATCCGTTTTATTTATATCTTCCCTTCAGAGATGTTTCATTATCCCTATCTGTCAAAAACGCATTATGGTTTGCAAAGCGCATTTCTGGTTCACTCAGTGCACTAAAACGACTATGTCGCAACATTTAACATAACCGCGGCTGTTGCAAACAGACTTAAAATGCACTAGATATGTTCACCGAAACTTCCACGTTCGGCGAACGTGGACATAAACTATTAAGAGTATATAGTGCATAACATCGTTCAAGTACTCATGGTTTTTCTAAAAAACACTTTACTACAACCACATGCAATCTTACTGTACCACACTTTGGCTCAGCTTTAACTGCACGGATGCCAGTAAGCAGTTGGTCTAAACTTCATGTGTGGGACCTCCTTGATCATCGTGCCTGGAATGACCACAATGGCTGTTCTGAATAGTTCATGGTCTTTTATCGAAGCCTCAGTACATCGATCTGAGAATTTGCTAAGATGTAGCAAGAGATTATCTTCATTTCCACAAATACGGTCATTTGCATATCAATTTGGTTTTCAAGAGAGACCTAACTGAATATAGGCATATGATGTTTTTTGACTGAATGTGCTAAACAAAGTCGCAGTATATTTTCTTTAAGGCGACTACTCACAAGTAGTATTTGTGGACGGATTCCTTCAAGAGTGCTTCCATATTCGTCGATCCCATACCGGGTGTCTATGTATGTACATTTTGTGCATCGTGGAGGTGCAATTTTTCAAAGCAATTTTCGTGCGATTTTCTCTCCTGTGAGCTAATGTAGGCAACCGAAGTCTCCAAAATTCAAGTTCTAGCTCTCAGAAAGTACTGGCAGTATTTATTTTCAATACATCTACACCCAAGCTTTTGCCTGGAGGGATATTTATCAATCATTTCACTCCGGCGTTTTTACAGTTTGAAGCTTATCCGCGTTAAGATAAATCTTTCGACGGGATTTGACCAAAAAATTCTCCATTTTAGTTTATAAGCGAAATGCACGTTATCCGACTTTGAAAGAAAGTTTTTTCAGTTGACGGCATATAAACCCAAACAAAAATTATACTGTGATATATTCTGCTTGCGGCTCTACTGGTAGTTTTGCTACGGGCAAGTGAGTCTAGGCCTCTTTATATCTAAGAGGAGGACTCTCCGATTATGTCACACGTTTGCAGGATCACTCTATTCATTTCGTTTTTAGAGAAACGGACTTGGATTTGTCTTCAGGAGGAATACATTTGCTCCTGGTCGTTTCGGAAAATTAAACGAAGGTACAAGTACTTTCAACAGTTCGGATTTCGTGAAAAATACTGATCTTTATCGTGCAGCTATTCCGCAGCACGTTTCTTTATGAAAAACAGACGTTTTCTTGAGAAGTCGGTTGTCCTCTGTAAGTTTAGCTAAGCTCACTTCTCCAAGTTACGCCAGTTCCTAAATACTACGTCACATCTGTCTTCAGAATCTAGCAAATAGAACAGACTGCACCATTTCAAGCCCGTCGAATATTTTTAGATAAGTTGTTAGCTTGATTTGCTGATACTATGTAGAACCGGGCCTACATATGTCTAGACTTACTGTAAGAGCTCAAAACCGATGCTTCTATTGGGATTCCTTGATCAATAGTGGTCAAACCACTGAATACCTGTGCATACTGGAGTGCCACAAGCAGTTTGCTGGCCTCAAAGTTGTGCTGTGCGCAAGGATTTGACGCTGGTTCAAACCCTGGGGAATGAGATAAGAAAATAAACTTGTAGTGGCCTGAACACGATAGTAAAACGATATGCACCGACAATGGTTCCTGGCTTCAACTGTCAATTTCTTTGAGTCTCCATCTAGTACCGCAAACTTCCCAGTATAGCTCGAGGTTTATCAAATATCCCGTCTAACCGATTATTTCTGACAGTTGTATTATTCACTTGAAATCCACTGACATTTGAAGTTCTAATCCTGAATTTCCTACCGATCTTTATTCCAATAATGAATTCGCTCAACAGTGATAGGGGAGTTAAGTCACTGCATCCAAAAAATAGTTTTCTCGGTGCTCGTAAGGGTACAGCATTCACCGTTATCGTGAGTTTTTAATCAGTATTCAGTGACTGTTCGGAGATTTTGGAGTGGAGTTTTCGGTATATATCAGAAGAAAAATTCAGAAAAATTGAAAAATGAAAGATCAACTGGAAATTCGCACTAAATCCTCGACTTTACTTAAAAATTTCCTGTATTTTCACAATGAAAATGTGGCAGACCAAAATGTCATCGTCGTTGTCGAATATCAACTAGAGACTATTCCCAATGATTCTAGCTGATTAATTAGAAGACTTGAAGACCTTGTGATTTGGTTGCACATGGTAGTTGATAGATTCGGTAATCCCCTGTAGACTGGATGACGATGGCGCATTGTTTACCGCCGCGTGCCTGTGGGATGAATGCCTAATTCTCTGAACACGCTAGTTGCATCTAACAAGCGACACATCTGTGTCTGTTAAAACGTGACTACGATGAATGTCCACCTTTGACGGCACACATATCCGGAGATCCGTCGGTCTTACCTAGAATACTCGGGACATAATGTGGACTGAAGTTTCTCCCTGATGTTGCTTAAGATATGATCGGCTTTTAGTTCCAGCCGTTGTGTTCAGTTTGAGTGAAGTCTTGATTTACTGTATAAAGTGGTGGAATATTCTGAGTGAAAATTGTATCCCAGTGTATCCTTCAAGAAGTCTGATTTATTCGGTAGTATGCCGATTGTAGTGTTAACCAGTGTTCTCACTAATATGCTGTTGCACGTAATCGCTGAACTGAAGGTATAACTACTCCTTACACTATTACGTCGGACGTTTTTTTTACAATCGCCCATTCGGACGCCGTGTATGAAGGACGACTAAGCTCAGATTTGTCTCACCCTCCCGCCACGCAGACGACTTTGGGCGAATATTATTTCAACACTGAATTGGAATGCTGATAAGTTGTAAAAATAAACCCATGGCTTACACAGATTAGCGCTCAAAACAGTACCACACACTTGCATCTGAATCTTGGCTGGAAACGTATCTGCTAGTATTATGTAGAGCGGAATTACCTTAGCAATGACTCCCACTCATCTTCACGCATTTCCGTCACATTCAATGCGAATGTTTTTGCGCACAGCCACACGATCCAAAAGCAGCATATTAAGTTTACCCGGGAAGGTATTATTTATACTGATGAGGTCACACTACTAGTAATCTGTTCACTTGATGGGACATTGGTCAGTAAACGATTAAATAGGGTAGAAAAGAGAGAGTTCATTAAGTATGTGGTGTAAGTTGGAGATATTTCAAACAGTGTGGAATCAACGCACAAGCAGAATAGGTTTATTGAGTCATATCTTCGACCAGGTTTTGAAAGACTTTTAATTCATGGAAAAGCAAGCATCTGTGCTAATTTCTTTTATTTTTAGAAGCAAAATGCTTCTGTCAAACCAAGCCATGATCCATGAGAACATCAACCTTTTAACTTCAGGTTTCCAAGTAATAGCCATACTCGTGGAGAACTGGTCGTTTACGCCACAGTCTCACACTGAATTAGCCTGGGTGAAAACCATATATGCCGCGTATTATGCGTCTGTATGTGTGAATTTGCGGCACTTTCTCCACATTACGTATTGTCAAACAATGTTCCCGCATATAAAATTATTCAACACAAATCTAAGTAGCACGACAAACCTGGGTCACGGAATTCTGTTCAAATTTTTG